GGGATATTACGAAAACAGCATTAAAATTATTTTCCATCTAAAAAATGAATATATGTCGTTTATGTATTTCATTCTAAATTTTGTTAGTTTTTTCCTAACAAATATATTGGTTTCAGAATATATAATTTTGGAACTCTATATACCTTACATTTTCAATTATCTTTTACAGATTTATAAAATCTTGTAATTTTAGAAACTTTGGGGTTTTACAAATTAAAATTTTCTATAAAATTAAAACTGAAACTTTAATTTTAATTTTTATTTACAATTTAATTATTTTTATTTTCTAGATTTTGTTTCGATTTGTTAAGTTTTGTATGTTTTTTAATTTTTTGGATTTTTTTATAAATTATTTATTTTTTGAAAATAATTACAAATTGAACCCTAAATTGATAAATATTTATCAAAAACATCAAATTTGTAGTTTTTAACATGTTTACATATATTTGGTGTATGTCACCATGTATTACATAATAGTCTGTGTAGTTCAAAAAAAATTTATATACTTGGGATGGTTTGCAATATATTAGTCAATAGTTGGTGTAGCTAAAAATGATTTTTCTTTTTTTAAAGTCAAATTCTTTAATTTTAGTCTTTCATAAGCCAATTTAGAAACTAAAATGTACAATATTCTTTCACAAGCTTATAATACTACTACATAATATAATACCAAAATTAATTTTAGTTTTATTGTAGTTCTCTTCCTCAAGACTTTTACTTCTAGTGGAGGACACGTCTTGTTTGGCCTTTTCTTACCTTCGATAATAATTTATTTTGATTACCTTCGATAATGTGGCGATGGTATTCAAATTCGTGGTTAACTCTAGGACAAGTCTCGAAGTGATGGTCTCCAGTTTTCAACCTCCAACTTTTGCACTCCAATTCCAAAGTTCCAATCCTCAATGTGTAGTTAGAGTTTCTAACGACATCCACTTGAGTAGAACTGGTGTTTCCATTGCATTTCAGCATTCTTCTCTCTTCTCGTTAATGAGGCTTGGCATAGATGTCGTAAAATTGTGTTAGTATTTCTGACTGCTTACTCATGTTTTAACCTTATTTTATGTTCCTGTGCAATGAGAACGGAGGGTTGCTCCAAGAACACTGGAATAAATTGTTCCATTGTTTCTCTGTAATTTTGATTACCATGTTCAATTCACTCTCCCAATTTGTTGCTTCTAATATGTTCATTTTATTATTTGTCCTCTCCGTTTATGTTTGGGATATATAATTGTAATTTTGGAATGTGTTGACCAAGACGGGTTCCTTATGAGATCATTCATAATATACTACTTTTACATATATTTTTTAATTAATCTTTATATTCTAAACATAACTTTTTGTAACTTTGTTTGGTATTTTTAAGGATGTTAAACCCATAATAAATATGGTATCTCTTTAAAGATTGATACTAAAATTTGTTCACGTTTTTCGATCCTCTCCATCTAGAAACCCTAGACCCCAAATTTCGCCGTTGCTAATGGCAGACATGACGAATCCTCTAGTTATTGTTGATCATTACAGTAGATGCTCATCGGTCACTTCTCCGGTAGTTACCACCGTCATTTGCCCTCACAAATTCTGCCGTAATTCTTCTTAAACCTCAACAAACAATTCATGGACTCGTTAGCCTTTGTCTTATCAAATTTGTCGTGTGTAATTCCTTAATTGTGTGTTTTTAATGGTAGTGAAATGTATCTTAAACCTCTGGTCACAACAGAATCTAAGAGAACCTTGTGCTTGTCCATTTGATGGAAAACATATCATTTATAATACGCCCTTGTACTACCCTTGACGAGTCTGAGGAGATTGCTTCCCTCGCCAACGTTTATAATCGTTTATTCCGCGTAAATATTCCCCTGTAAACTTTTTCCAATCTTTTAACAACTATATACATTCTTTAGACCGACTATCTGATTGATTGATTACTAACATGTCTGTTTTTCCTTGTTTGTACCGGAAATAACATTATGATGTATTTGAGTTCATGCCCTATGCAAAATATGGCATTTTCTTTCTTAGACTCTTTATTTTTATTTGATGTGTTTCCAACATTCTTTCTCCTTGTTGTTGTTGTATAAAACTAACTAACTCTCCTCTTCACGTACGTTTTTGTAGGTGGTATATTGTCACGGCTCTACTATGTGGATATGGCTCTTTTACTCACCGGACTATTTGCCTACTACGTCAAGGTTCATGGTGATGGTCCATAAATGTGTTGCCTTCGTTGACTTCCTCGTGCATGGTTTTTTTAGTATACTATATAAATTAGGTTTGTATGACTCTTCTCGATACTTGTTGCCTCTTTCTTTTGCTTTGATACTTGGCTAGGTTTCCTTCTCTCATGCATTGTGAATTGATAAAGCTTAAACTTTTATCTCG